TCAAACTCAAGGTGGTATCGTGGAGATCAACTTGAGTTTGCTAAGAAGTAAACAAAAGCGACCGGGAAGGAGAGACTTTGTGAAGACATCCGCTGGTTGATCTGTAGAGGAGACGGGAACAAGCTTCACAGTCCCATGTGCAACATGCTGTCGAATGAAGTGACAATCAATCTCAATATGCTTGGTGCGCTCATGAAACGTATCATTATGAGACATCTTTATAGCACTCTGACTATCACAATGTAAAGCAGTAGACGACGACTGAGGGGCACCAAGATCAGCAAGTAGTCGACGTAACCATAATAGCTCGGAGGTGGAATCAGCAAGAGCGCGGTACTCAGACTCAGCACTCGATCTGGAGACTAAGGGTTGCTTCTTACTACGCCAAGAGACGAGTGAGTCACCCAGAAAGAAGCAGTACCCAGTAATGGAACGACGATCAGTAGGATCTCCAGCCCAATCTGCATCAGAATAGCCGCTAAGTGTCAAAGAAGAACGGGCAGAGAAGTGTAAACCATGCAATAGAGTGCCCTTCACATAGCGAAGAATGTGCAACACAGCTGAATGATGCGTGGTTCTTGGAGCAGCCATAAACTGACTCACAATATGAACAACGTGAGCTATATCAGGCCGAGTGACAGTCAAATATATCAAACTCCCAACAAGCTGGCGATATAACGTAGGATCCTCAAGAAGAGAGCCATCCAGTGGAGTAAGACGAACATCATAATCAAGAGGTGTGGAAGCTGTCTGACAATCTGTGAGACCGGCCCGAGCAAGAAGATCAGAGGCATACTTGGCTTGAGACAAATAGAATCCATCAGAGGAATCAGAAATCTCAAGACCCAAAAAATAACGAAGCTGGCCCAAACTCTTCATCTCAAAATGCTGACGAAGATAGTCCTGTAAATCGGAAATACCAGTAACATCATCTCCCGTGATGATCATATCGTCAACATAGAGCAGCAAAATAATAATCCCAGATGAGGAGCGCTGAAGAAACAAAGCGGAATCGTGATCACTCGTAGTGAAACCAAACTGAAACAATGCAGAACTGAACGTAGCATACCAGGCACGAGGAGCTTGTTTCAAACCATACAAAGCTCGACGTAGACGCCAAACCTTCCCAGAGGACAAGGACCCCGGAGGTGGAACCATGTAAACCTCCTCAGATAAGGCACCATGCAAGAAGGCATTCTTGACATCTAACTGCAGAAGAGACCATCGACGAACAGCAGCAACAGAAAGTAAACACCGAACAGTAGTAAGACGAGCAACCGGTGCAAAGGTCTCTTCATAATCGATGCCGTACTCCTGTGAGTACCCCTTAGCAACTAGACGAGCTTTATAGCGCTCAATAGAACCATCTGAATTTGTCTTGATCTTATAAACCCATTTGCATCCGATAGGTTTCTTTCCAGCAGGCAGATCCACCAAATCCCAAGTATGAGTCTTCTCTAACGCCTGCAACTCATCAGCCATAGCTTGTTGCCATAATGGATCAGCACTCGCCTCACGAAAAGAGTTAGGCTCATGATGAGATAGTATGGCCGAATAACAATGATAGTCAAGTAAGTGAGAAGGGGGACGGCTTACACGAGTTGAACGTCGGTGATCAATGGTAGGTGAAGGGACAGAATCAGAAGAGGACTCAACAGGGAGCGTCAGTTCAGGATGCGCAGGTGGAGCCACTTCAGAAGACGGAGGCATGACAGGCGTGTCAATGAGCTGTGAGTCAGGACAAGTATCGGGAAAGAGATCCGAAGTAATGGACATGAAGAAAGGGGATGACGAATAAAACGGAATGTGAAATTTAGACAAAGAAGAAAAAGTAGTATGCTCCCAAAAGGTAACGTGACGCGAAATACGCAACCGATTAGCAATAGGATCCCAACACCTAAACCCTTTGTGTTCTACCCCATAACCCAAGAAACAACACAAACGAGCTCGAGGTTCTAACTTGGTCCGCTCATGGGATGGGAGAAGAACAAAGCAAACACAACCAAAAGGACGTAACTGAGTATAATCAGGCGACTGACCGTGCAACTGTTCAAAAGGACTGATATCGCGAAGAACTGATGAAGGTAACCGATTGATAGTATAAATAGCAGTCAAGGCTGCCTCACCCCAGAAACAATCAGGACACTTAGCAGAAAGGAGAAGAGCACGAACAGTATCAAGAATGTGACGATGCTTACGTTCAGCTCGCCCATTTTGTTGAGAAGTATAAGGACAGGAATGCTGAACTATTGTGCCCTGATCAGAAAGAAAGTTTAAAAAGGTAGAATCCTTGTACTCAAGGGCATTGTCAGTACGCAAGACCTTTATAGGGCAAGAAAATTGTGTGTGAATCATTCTAGCAAATTGAATATATATGGTGGGCAACTCAGAACGATTTTTGAGAAAATATATCCAGGTAAAACGAGAAAAATCATCAACAAAAATAACAAAGTACCAAAAACCATTCATAGAAGCAACCGGAGAAGGACCCCAAATATCAGAATGTACCAAACCAAAAGGTTTATCAGCAGTTGACAAATTCTCAAAAAAAGAAAGAGCCGAGTGTTTCCCAAGCTTACAATGAAGACAACTAAAAGACTCAAAATGAGCTGGACCTAAAAGACCTTTATGATATAATGAACGAACTTTATTTGAAGACGCATGCCCAAGACGAAGATGCCACTGAAAACTGGACTGATTATCGATGACATGAGCAGAAAATGAGGAAGAACGAGGGATATGAAGAGACTCAAGCTCAAATAACCGGCCCATCTTGCGACCCGTCCCGAGAAGCCGACCCGTCTGTGTATCCTGAACCTGAACACCAGAAGATGAAAAAAGAACATTAAGACCTTGTTCAACCAATTGACCAACAGAAATAAGATTCAAGGCCAAATCAGGAATGCAGTATGTGTCAGGAAGATGTAAAGAAGGGGAAGAAACCAGACCAGTGTGAGTAATATTCATACGGGTACCATTTGCAGTATGTATAGGGGGTAAAGAAGTGACAGAAGACGAGGAAGACAAAAATTGTGGACTAGAGGTCATGTGATTGCAACATCCAGAATCAAAGTACCAATGAGGGTTACCTGCGGTAGCAGACATAGCAGAATTGGAATGGATAACCTGTTTGAGAATAGCTTCTATGTCTTGAAGAGAATATGACGAGTGTTGAGGCTCATTAGTGACAGCTGCTGTAACTGAAGAAGAAGGGGTCGATGACGAAGACCCACGAGACCCTCGAGATCG